GTGCAACCATTGCATGTTTGTTGCCGTTTTTAGGTGCCAAGACGGACGCCCGTTTGGGCCACAAGCTGCTTTATAACCCCACTCTATTCCTCGTCTTGCCCCTCGTGCGTGATTTCTCTTCCCTCTTCCAACTCCCTCCCTCTCTTCGTTTCAATAGCTTCTAGTGCTTCCACTCAGCATGCCGCGAAGAGTGGATCGAGCACGTTGGAAAGTCAACGTTGGCGATCCGGTCCTGACACTCGCTCGGACCCATGTCCCTCTCGACCGACCCCTCCCCCCGCCGATTGGTTCCGAACCAGAAAATCCAGGAAGCCATTCCTGGAGAGATCTTCTTGGGGTTATCGAAACCGCACGCGGCTGTAAATATGTAGCTTGCAGCCGAGTAGCCGAAACCCCAGAAACAGTTATTTTCGTTCTAGGTCGGCCTCCTACGTTTCCCTCAGACACCCCTTCGTAGCGTGGTTCCAAGTTCTAACGCGTTGCCGCTGCAGTCTGGTGGGACCAAGAATGCCTCGACGAATTCAAAGCATCTCCAGACTATACTGTGTTTCTCGTCTCCCTTGGCATGCTTGATATAACACCCGTTGCAGGTGGCGTATCGGGGAGAACAATCCAGACGATCAAGTTCGACTCCTGGGAAGCCACTAGATTCTCCCTCTTGGAAGGATGGCTAGCATTGTACACGGTCGCCTTGGCGCATCCAGTCACCGACGCGCAGCGCGAAGTACGATTGCAGGGCCCCCGATATCGCAGAAACAGCATCGGCAACGTCGAGTGGCATATCATGATGATCAACCTCCCAGAGCCGAGAAGATCGCAAGGTGTGCAGCATGGTTGGGTGCAAGAGCTGCGACAGATTGTTGGAGAGGGAAAAAAAATCGAGACCACAGTGCAGGACGCTTTCTTTTACACTGGGTGGCCGAGCAAGGAGGCAGAAGAGAAAATGAAAACGGCACTCCCAGAAGTAGAGTTCGGTTGGGACGACGAACTGCGTGAGATCGGAGCCATTGAGGCCAAGGAGGAACATGTGGATCTGGTCTGGATTGCCCAGGGGCGGGACCATAACTGGAACCAGGTGATAGGTGTAACTATCCCTAAACGAGGGATCGTGCAACACGTTTAATCTTTGTTAATGGCTGTCCTTGAACCAGAATGGGTCCAGATCCTGACCTGGAACGACTATGGCGAGTCCCACTACATTGGCCCACTGCATGACGAGGAGATGGAGCTAGTATTCACGCCCGGCAAAGGCCCCTTCAACTATGCCGAAAACTTGCCACACGACGGCTGGCGGAAGTTTCTACCTTTTATTATTGACCGGTACAAGACTGGTTAGAGTATAGTCACGCAGGAAGGGATCGTGGCCTGGTATCGTCTCAGTCCCAAGGCCGCCTGCGCGGACGGCAGCACAGTGGGCAACACGCATACACAGCTGCGAGTCGAGTTTGCCCTCGGCGAGGTCTCTAGGACAAGTTTTTCTGCCCAACACTTGCACAACCGGCACTGGGTCAGGCAACCTGGGCGGTCTCTGTTCCTTTGCTTGCAACTTTGGCTTTTGTCCCCTCCACTCGGTAAGCTGCCACGTTCCCCCGCGTGCCTCCAATACAATCGAATACTGACGGAATGTATTCTGCAGTGCTCGTGTACCTCACAAGGTGCTCTCAACCTCCCACCTCCGCCTACAGGTCTGAACGGCAAAGGAGCCCCTGGAACGGATGCTTTCCTCTACGACGACCTGTGTGATTTTGCCTGCAGCCGTGGCTACTGTCCCGAAGGAGCGTGTAGTTACAAGGGCAACGCCGAATCTGGCTCCCTCATCACTTATGTTGACCCAGAAGTTTGGAACTTACCCAACCCATTCATCCAGTGTTTCCCGCCCTGCACTCTGGTCTACCCACCTTGGCAACTCCCCGACGGCAGCGCAACCACCGTCAGCTTCCCTCTTTTCACCACGACGCTGGAAGTCGGATGTTCAACGGGTGTTACCACGCGTAGCGGCGTGTCAGTTGGGACGCTACAATACGTTACTTCGGAAGTTTGCTCACTCTCATTACCGAAACAACTGTTCTCACCATTCCGCCGGGTAAGTAGCATTCCCACCCCCCGCCCCTAACCGCCTCGGGTGGGTAGCTATTTTAAGGCCCCGACTTGTTAATCAATTACTTTTCTGACTTGCCAGTCACGACTACCGAAATCAACTGATGGAACCAGGAGATTCCCTCAGGCCTCGGCACCGCGCTCATCTACCTCACGAGCAGTATTCTGCCTCCGGTCTTCACTATCACCAATGATCCCAACGCATTCCCGGCTGGCCTAAACTGCCCGCCCGTCACCCGGACCATCCATCCACCCCCCTGGCCTTATGTCACCCCTGATGACAGCACATCGACCCACGGTGGCCCACCAATCTATATCACGTACTCTTCGTCGGCCTCCCGTGGAGGGGGCGGCGGCGGCGGCGGCGGAGGCGGCGGGAGGCAGCCACCCGACCGCGTGCCCGAACTGCAAGAGGGGCACGCGATGCACAGGTCCTTACTGCAACATACCCGGGTGGCCTCCCATCCCCAACGTGGATTACTTGGACCCTCACAATCCCGAGAACCCGTATGACCCGAGCGACCCGTACGAGCCGGAGGACGGGCAGTGCACGACGCAACCGCACTCGTCGTGCGAGACGCGGTGCGTCGCCGGCGCCACGCCCTCGACCTGCTCCTCGGCCTGCTCGACGTCCTTTACCTGCCAGGGCGACGACCTGTCGACCATCGGTACGCAGACCCTCGCCGGCTGGGGCACCATGGACGAGGAGATGTGGCCGACGGCGACGTTCGACGCGGCGTATACGTCCTCGGCGCTGGCTTCGGTGCAGTCGCGCCTGAGCTCCTGGTATCCGCCGCCGCCGCCGCCGCCGCCGCCGACTACGGTGTCAGCGCCCGTCGTCACCTTGACCGTCTACCCCGACATCTACTCCATTTACTTGTGGAAATGCCACACCCCGTTCGCCACCACGTCGTCGTCGCGTGTCGGCAAGTCCCGCGATGGCCCCTGCGGGTCCCGCGACAATCGAGTTGGCTATGACGCCAGTCTTCCCGGTACAGGAAGCAAATACAATATCTGTGGGGGCCCGCGAACGCTCGGGAAACTCTTCAACGATCAATACGGTACACAGTGTTATTTAATAGACAACACCGGTAAGTGTTGCTCTGATGATGGCCCATCGCCGGACGTATCTTGTGTGGATGAGGACGGCATTTCATGTACTGTCAATTTGTTCTTAACATGTACCGACATCTGTCCCGGGCAATAAAGCAAGAGTGTTGTTGAATAGCAGCAGGGAGGACTTACTGGACCAATGTATTTGGTGCCTGTTTAACGTTGAATGCTTGTGAAGCCGCCTCAATGAACCCAGTGGTAACTGATCTATAGTCTATACATACCCGTAGGTGATGCCGCATGTAGAATGCATTTATTAGGGCTGTAATAGAAAGTAGGGGTGATATGTGAAAATTCAGCAGCCACTTCTTGGGGGCTTTGGGAAATACCTAAGCTTTAGCAGTAGGCCTGTAGACAAGACGGCGGCGACCCCAACCCTAAAGACGGGAGGGGAGGTATTATCCGAAAGAAGCACCCCCTTTCGTGACGTCACACCGTCGACGTCAGACTTACACGGCATTGTCACTAGGTAGTATTATCACTCCCACCATCCCCTCCTTGAGGAGGGGCGAACTTGAACTTTCTCGAGTTCTGGCTAGCCTCCTTGATAATCTTTCCTCCTGGCATTTTCAACTCCTGGGTCGATCATCGAACTCATCAACAATTATATCAATCTCCCAACAAGGCAGAAACCAACACACAACCATGTCCTCCCCCAACAACCCACAAAACCCCCAAAACCCGCAAAACCAACCCGGCCTCTGGGCCGCTCACGCCGAGTACATCAAAGGCGCCGCCGAGGTCCGTTCTTTTTTCTTCTTCACCTCCCCTCCCCCCCAATTATTCCCCCACTCACAACCATCACTGGCACCCAACAACAACTAACCTCCCCTTCCCCCCGGTGGCCAGAGCACAATCGGCAGCCTGACAGGCGCCCAGGGCTGGACGGCCTCGGGCGAGCAGGACAAGGCGCACGCGCGGGCGTCGCTGCAGGCCGCCGTCGAGCACCGCGACCCGGCCAAGACCGGGTACGGCCGCGCCGAGGAGATTGCGGGCAAGCTGACCGGGTGCGAGGGCATGAAGAGCGAGGGCGCGGCTAGCAAGGGGGCTGCTGCCGGGGGGGGCCCGAAGAGGCGGGATTAAAACTAAGTTACAGGGGGTGGTTTTCCGGGTTGGGTGCCCTGTGCTGTGTCTGTCGGCTTTGGATCTTTTGGACCTTGGGTGTTTTCTGTTTGTAAAAGGGGCGATTATATGCACACTACCGTAGTCATTGTGGGGCATCTATCGATGTTGTTTTCTTACTCTCTCAGGGTTGCTGCTAAGCCACGACAACCGGAAAGTACTTTGTGTTACATGTACACTCGTCTTGCGGCCGAGAGCAAGGCGTCGCCTTTATCTTTCAACTATTAACAACCCTAGACCCCCAAGACAGGCAGCGGATTGGAGAATTTGATTCAAGGTGTTCTCGACTTTATCCCTTGTCTGGGCGGGCTTTGGTACATGTACTTCTCGATGACGGGCATGCTCACACAAGCTTTGTCAATAAACACAAGTTTTGTGAGATGGTGTAGTGCTTTCTTGGGCAAGACGAGGGCGAGTTCAAGTTGATCAACGTACTTTCCCTGAAGCACTTTCCAAGCTCAAGTTTCACACCCCGTCGGGGTAGTCGAGTATATTTCCTAGCACGCCGAGGGATCTTCAGTTCCATCTCCTCCAAGCTGCAGCCCCACTGTTCCTGACAATACCAAAAACGAGTAATTCTCAAGAAAACAACAAATGTCACATTGTTCCAAAGAATCATTGCCCCTTGATAAACCTTGGGTTTGGCCAAGACAAATCAAACAGTTGAAGCCCGCGTGGCGCAATCGGTAGCGCGTCAGACTTTTACGTAAGCTAGAGATCTGAATGTTGCGAGTTCGAGTCTCGCCGTGGGCGTCCCGTCTTTCCTTCTTCTTTTAGAAGGAACCTTTACTTTTACACTCCGTCCGCTTTTTCCTTAAGGTCTAATTACGCTTTGGTGTTCTAAAGTTAGAAGCTCGTTTCATTTTTTTTGAAACTCGGCAATGACACGCAGCGGTGCTACCTACCATCCCGCAACTCCCTTGCTCACAAAGGATGTGCAATCGGCTGCCAATCGCAAGTGACAAAGTACGCCTTGTCCCTCGCAAGTACTATCTTCCTCAAGCTTTGACTGCCAACTTATGCCAGCATTTCACCAAATACCACCATTCACCTCTGAAAATCCAAGTAGGTACACATCATCATCAGCATCGTCAATTTCGTCAACCGCTGTGCGTAATCTGTTTGGAGCAAGAATACTTTGTACACATACACCCGTGTCATGATCTCCCCCACCACCACACATTTAAACCATACTTGTGTGAAAAAGCAACCCCCTGGCACCAAAAGAGACAGTTATATGCCGTTTCCCAACCCCATAGCCGACCGGATCCCCGAGCAATGTACTATACCCGTACATCTGTACTGTGTATACCATGGTACCGATATTAAAAATGAAAAGCAACCCGCTGAGTGATGCAAATGAAAACCAAAAGAAAGAAGAAAGAAAAAGATAAAATGCAAACTCCGCTGTGTTGTGTCCACCACACACACGCGCGCTGCCCTCACTCGACGTCCGACTCGACCTCGTCAATCGCATATTTCTTTAGGACTTGAGGCGGTACAGTAGTACCACACTTGATGTGGATCCGCTGCTTCTCGTCGGCCCCGTCCAGGTGGACTTTGATGCCCAGCTCCCGCATCACCGCCTTCCTCAGCTTCTGCCTGTCCGGGTCGTCGGCGCGGCACATGGCAATCTCCCTGACGAGATCCCAGGGCGTGTCCTCGGGGCTGCACTTGTCCAGCAGCAGCTTGGCCGTCTGCAGCAGGCTGACGGCCGTGTCGGGCAGCCGCGGCTCGTCCCACACGCGCCGGATTAGGGCCACGGCGGGTGGGTTCGGGCAGTCTGGGCCGCCGATCGGGTCGGTCGACTTTTCGAGGAGGAGTTTGAGGATCGCCGGGTTCGGGTTCTGGCTGGCGCGGTGGATGTAGCTGAACTTGGTTTCTGGTGGGATGTCGGGCAATGCGTATCGCGAGAGCATGTCCTGGATGATCTCGACGCGGTCGTCGCGGATGGCAAGGTCGAAGGCGGTGAGGTACCGCCGCTTCACAAAGCGCCACTCGTCGTCGCCGTCGTCTTCATCGCCACAAATCTCCCGGAGAAGGTCGTCCGGCGGCACGAGGAAAGGGTCGGCCACCTCCTTCATGAGCGCTACTGCGATGCACACGTAGTTCTCGCTCACGGCGATGGACAGGGGCGTCCGCAGCTCCCGGTCGAAGACGTTCACGTCGGCTCCCCGCTCCAACAGAGCCTTGACAACTTCTTGGTCGCCAGAGTGGCACGCGAGATGCAGGTATGTCTGGTCGCCGTGGAATCTGGGCTCGCTGATCGAGACACCGCGCTCCATGACGGCCACGCTCAGCTCGCGGTTCTGCTGCATGATGGTCTTGAACAGCAGCATTTCGTTGGTGTAGACCGATCTCCCAAAGTCCATCATGCAGTTAAAAGTCTCAATCTGGTTCCACGGGTCGCTCTGCTCAATGATGCGACACAGGTAATCTTTCACATCGGAATCCCTAACGCCGTACACCCTGTCGGCGAAGCTGAGAAGGAGCTTCAGCGCCTTGTGATTCCCGCAGGAAGCGCAACTCCTCAAGGCCTCCTTGACCTTGACTTTGGTGAGATTGTTCTTGTCGGCCACGGTCAACATGGCCTCGAGCACGTCATCCTCTGCCCACCTGATGTGCTTGATCGCAGTGTCGAGCGGGCTGCAGTTGGGCTCCTCCTCGATGTCCATGCGGGCCCCGTGGCGTAGCATGATGGATGCGATTTCGGGCACCTCGCCACGATGATCGACCCTGATTGTGACGGCGTAGCACAGTGGCGTCCGCCCGTTGCGATCTTGGGCGTTGATCTCGGCGCCGCATTGAACGAGGGCGGCAACAGCTCGGGGCTCGGCCAGCTCGCACGCAAGCATGAGCGGTGTTACGCCGCGATGGCCGCGCTTGTCGAATCGGGAGTTTACGTCGGCGCCGGTATCGACCAGGGCCTTGATCAGCGTCACGCGATTGCCCTCAAACTCGTCGTGCTTAACGGGCGCCTCGTCCATGTCGAAGAATTCGGAGCGTTGTAACATGCAGTAATATAGTGGGCGGTAGTCTCGGAAGTTGGGGATGTTGCGGTGCGGATCCGGGTTGGCACCGATGTTGACCAGCCGGTGAGCAACCGCGTAGTTGCCTCTGAAGCATGCGTTGAGGAGCGGGGTGTGGCCGCTATCGTTGTGGGCCTCCAAATCAGCGCCGAGGGCAAGAAGCTTGGTGATGGTGTCTCGGATGTCAGCCGAGTCGCGCGGGCTCCAGATCTCCGACACATAGTGCAGCGCCGTATTATCCCAGGCATCACGCTGGTTGACGTCGAGGTTGATGTCGTTCAGTGCCAGCAGCTTGATGACGGGGATCAAGCCTTGGGCGGCGGCGGAGTGAAGGGCCGTGTGCTTGTGGCCGGCTGTGGGATCCAGCTCGAGCGAGGCGCCGCGGAAGATGAGCAGCTCGGCGACGGCCCGTTCCTGGCTGCACATGGCGGTGTGCAGGGTCCGCCACCGAGGCCATTCGGAGAGGCGGCGTGAGGGATGCCGTCCCGACTTGAGAGACTGGCAGTCGCAAACGCGGTAGGAAGGAGCATCGATGTCGGCACCGTTGTCGAGGAGCCATTCGACAATGTCACGATGGCCGTTCTTGGCCGCAAGATGGAGCGCGGTGCAGGACGGCTGGAGGCTTGGGTCGGGCGGCACCTCGAACAGCTCAACTGCGGGGTCGGCGTCGTTATTTCCGTCGCCGTCGTTTTCGGTGTCGCTGGTCTCGGTCTCGCCCGCCTTGCGCGGAAGCGGCCCTGAAGCGTTCACATCGGCGCCAGCGGCGAGAGCATGCTTGAGGGTGCCCAACTGGCCGTTCTCGGCGCCCCAGAAGAGCGAGGACGCGTTTGCCAGCTTCACATTATCGCGATAGAGGACGGGATTGATGATGGAGTAGAATTTCCTGTTGGCGCGACCGAGGGCGAGGCGGTCCTGGAGTTCGAGCAGCTCGTCGACGAGGAGAACGATCTCGGGCGGCAGTCGTAGGATAGGCACCGATAGCGCCTTCTTCGCTTTGCCCTTGCATAACTTTCCATCGAGCGCTTTTGTCTTGGCCTTGACTGCCGGCTTCTTGGGCGTGCCTGTCTTCCTTTGCGAAGCCATCCGAATCGAAATTAAGGTGGATGGACGGGGTTTTGGGTGGCAGAGGAAAGGTTGGGGTTTAGGCTGGGATTATAGCTGACGATGGGAGCGCTGGGGAATGGAAGCGGGAAGCCCGCGGGGCGTTTTTGTGGGGCTGCGGAGGGTGATCCAGGCAGAGGGCTGGCTTGGCTGGCTCGTGCTGGGTGGATTAATGGATTCTCCACTGAAGCGCGGCCGATCGTTGGATTCCAAGCCTGTCGGGCCTGTGCAGTGCATCAACTCAGCCTCGCTGGCCTGGCGACCTCCCAAATGCGTGCCTCGTCTCCTCGTTTGTTAGGTAGGCAAAGTGCGAGGCGGCAAGGGCCTTTTTTTCGCGCCTGCGTCGGAGAGCGGTAATCAAATTGAGGATAACCGCAAGGAGGCCCGGGGAGGCCAACTCCCAGGTCGATTCGCTCGCTGGCCCACCCTCCCCCGCGCAGGCGCCGCGATTGTGCATAACGAGGCCCTCTTCTCGACCACTCCAGCGCCCACTCTTCGCGCCCGAGGCCTCGCCACAGGCCTACCGCTTCCAATAAGCAAAGACCGGACGAAAGAGATTCACGTGGCGATGTACTTGTTGGCGGCCTTGTCTCCTTATTGTATGATGGTCAGGGGCAATAAGAGGTCGCTGGTTGGCGGCCGCCATCCCATGACAGTCCCACTCGGGACATGCAGATGCCCAAGAATGAGACGCATGATCATCATCATCTTTGCACAGTAACTATTTTGTACTAACTACCAGTAGCGATGAAGATTTGCGATATTCGACTTCGCCGTCACAACCTCTTCAGAACTGCCAAACCACGAACCATGGATCCACCCTGACGTCAGCCGCCAAGCCATCGAACTACTGTGAGAGATATAGGAGTCCAACCCCGTTCAAGGTAGGAGGCCCTGGAAGGACATTATCCTACGGTCGATGAGCAGCGGCAGGGATGCGAGCATTGGTGTGGTCGGTTCTTTGATGGCAATGATGAGGTAGGGGCGGAGGGCGGAAGGGTGGTAGATCCGTGGCAGGTTACGGGCTCGACTCCTCGCCAACAAGTCCGGGGTGGGAGAGTCAACCAGGTCGGGTATGGACATAAAACGGCAGGAAATACGTCGCGAATGGCCATGACTAGGGATTGTGTTTTGAGTACGACGCGACATTCCGTTGCCGAAACCATTACCCGTCCCTCAAGTCATTCGCTCTCGTTTTTTCTGTTTTTACCACTTGGCCTCGCTGCTGTCAAGGAAGGCCTTGATGATGGCGACAATCTTGTCCAGAGCAGCCAGGTACTCCCGCATCTCCTCCTTGACCTTCTCCTCGTCCGCTCCGAGCTTGGCATAGAAGTCCTTGCGGTAAGGGCAGGCGCCCATGGCAGCGCTGAAGACGGGCTTTACGAGGAAGTTGTGGTGGGGCTTGAGGGTGACGCCGTAGGCGGTGCGGAAAGAATCGGAGAGCTCATGGTCGTAGTTTGCCAGGTTCTGGCTCAGGGCGATGCATGTAAACTCGAGGCCTCTGCAGAGTGCCAGAGGTATCAGCGACAGTCGTCACATTACGCGGGGAAACGGAATCTCACCTGACGAGCCATACCAGACCCTCGGTCGCGGTGTGGGCCTTGGTCTTGAGCTCATTCCGCA